CCCCGGTTCTGTATGTACAAATAAATAAATCTTTAAAAAAAAAAAAAGCAAGAAAGAGCTCAAATCAAACATCAAACATTATAACTTGAGGAACTGACCAACTTAGTGAAGCATATCTCTCCTGTCTCAGCCCCTGCTCCCCTCAGCAGTGCATTTCAGTGGATCCACCTGTTCTGCCCCCCAATCTGTCTCTGGTGAATCCTCTCACCCCCACACCTCTGGCTTGTACCCCCGGTTCTTGCATACATAAATAAATCTTTAAAAAAAAAAAAGAAAGTCAGGGGGACTGTAAAGGCAAATGTGGATGCTGGCAAAAAGGAAGAAAGATTCTGCAATGATTTTACCCTGATCTATGGTGAAAGTGCAGATTTACCACGAGAGGATTAATAAAACCTTTAATGTGTGTGGCTATTTGAAAAAAAAGAAAGAAAAGAGAAGATATTTTTTAAAAGATTCTGACCGGCAGGGCGGGGGAACTGTTGGCTGGGGCTGTGTTGCTAGGGTGAAAGCTGTCTGGTCCCTAGCCAGAGTCACACTACTTGGTGAGTGACAGATCAGGATTCACCCTCAGGTCCAACTAACTGAATCTCTGGCACTGAAGGTTTCCCAGGGGACTACCTCTCGGTCACCCACCGCCAGTTGCTAGGCAATCTGAGTGCTGCTAACATGTCTCTAGCATACACAGTGCCACATGAACATCCCAGCCCCCAAACCTTTTTGATCATCTCCTTTTCAGCTAGAAACTCTTCGAGATTGCTCCAAACAAATTCTGCTTCTTAAACCCTCTGTGGCCAAGGACCTTTCTTTTTTGCTTTTCAACATATGGTGGACCAATACTGTTGTAACATGCAGTGAGGATTAAAATCCAGAAACATGAGAGGAAAAACACATACAAGTGCCAGGGCCCTCCCTGGTGGTGCAGCATGTTAAAGGGCAGCACTATGAAGCTCTCCGCGGCACGGATTTGATCCCTGGCCAGGGAGCTGACCCACAGGGCGCCGCAGACCTCTCCTGACCCAGCCACTGCTCCCCTCAGCAGTGTATTTCAGTCATTCTGCCTGTTCTGTTCTCGACTCTGCTACACACATCAAAGGTTTTATTAATCGTCTCACCCCCCCACACCTCTGGCTTGCACCCCAGATCTTGCATGCATAATACATCTTTTTTTAAAAAATACAAGTACCAAAGTGTTAAAATGATACATTGTATGTTATTTGAGTTTTATCACTCACACACACAAAATAGAAGTCCCATCTAAAAAATTATTAGGCTCAAGAGATTTCAGTCAATTGCTAGGACGTCTCTAAGTGCTCCCTCTTCATTTCTGGATGACAGTGTGGAAGGCCACGTCCAGCAGGGACACTGAGGCGGCAGGCAGACTTGCGCTGCTACCTCAGCCCTGGCTGGCTGTCTACCTGGCCCCCTCCCTAGACTGCCAGGCCCGCCCATGTCTGGTTCACTGTTGAGCGCTCTGGCTCAGAGCCCAGAGCGGCGGCTTGCAGGCTCTGTGGCCTGAAGGAATGTTCAAGTAATGTCTCTGGCCTCAGCTGCTGAGAAAGGCTACTCACCATTTGGAACCAGAAGGAGGCTTTTCACGATGCTCCTGAGGGGGCCGAGACTGATCTGATTGCTGGTGGCAAATTCAGAGAGCTGAGCCAGAAACCGCTCCACCTGCAGCAGAACAGCACAGAGTAGCCTTTACTTCCTCAGTGTCTCGGCACCAGCTACCCACATGCGGGACCTCTCCTCACTACTAAACACTTTACCTCTTTGGGCTCAATCAGGAAGCCGAACAGCACTTCTGTGAGGACTGAGAACTGCTGTGAAGAGAGTAACATGGAGTATCAGTAACATTCTACTCTCCAGCCATCCAAGCAGGGCTGTGCAGAGGGGAGAATGGGAACAGGCAGGGTGTTGATGCTGCTTCTGATTATTTTATGTTATTACTTTATTTATTTATGCATCCAGAACTGGGGTATAAACAAAGGTGCAAAGGTGAGAAGATTCACCAGAGACAGTGGGGAGCAGAAGAGGAGGATCCGCTGAAATACACAGCTGAGGGGAGCAGTGGGGGTGACAGGAGAGGTCTGCTGCGCCATATGGGTAGGCTCTTGGCTGGGGATCGAACTCAGGCCATAGTGGCTGGCTCTGACTTTAACATCCTGCTTATTTTAAAGTTACAAATACTCACAGTACCCACCAACCCATGTCTGGGCCACAATAGTGTCTGAAAAAATCATATTTTATTGGGGTATCTGGGAGACACATATTGAGATTGTGACTGTGTGGACATGCTCACACATCTATCTCAGTTCAAATATACAAAGACAGACACACCTGAAAGGGAAAAAAGAATCACTGAGACTATACTGGCAATGATTCCTTTTTTGGTTCATACATCCATATTACTATTCAAATAGGAGCCAATCCACACAGACAACTTTCCTCTCTGCCCCCAAATGGTAACATTATGTAAACTTTTCCTCCACCTTGCTTTTTAGAGCAGTTCCTTCTGTGTGGCTAGATTGGAGTGATTTTCATTTTCTTGTTTTATCTCTCGGTGTTCTGCCTCACAATCACCAGTTTGTTACACACAGAACAAAATACTGTACATTAGCCACTATCCTAGAATAGCTTCTTGTTCTTTTGAGCATGTTAATCTTTGCTTCTCTTCCTCTGCTCAGGGTTGCTCAGCACCCTGTGCGTGCTGTCTGTGTGCCTACGACAGAACTCACAGGTGTGAAACGATGCTTGGCGACAGGGTCTGCCAGGAGCTGCCAGTGGTTAAGCGAGGACATGAAGGGAGGCCCTCGCCTGGCAGGACCACAGGGCAGTTGCGCCGTAAGAGAAACATGTCACGTGAGGACAGGGTGGGAAGGCAGCCATGTGCAAGCCAGGCAGATTTCCGACCAGGAACTAAATCTATTGGCACCCTGACCTCACACTTCAGGCTTCTAGAACCGTGAGAAACAAATCCCAGCACTCAAGGTCCAATCTGTGGTGTTTCATTAGCAGCCCCAGAGCACCCAGGCATGTGTCACTCACTCGTTTTCCAGGTTTCCTCCCAATGGACACAGTGTGTGAGGCCCAGGGGCTGGGCCGCCACAGACCCAGTTGTGAGTCGGTGTTATGCTACTGACCAACCTGTGTGACACCAGGAATATCACTGCGCCACTCTCCATGTCAGTCCCAGGGGGAAACAAAGCTGTCGATAATAACATGGCTTCCAGAATGGTACTAAAGGTGCAAAACATCTAGTTAAGTGCTAGGCTAGAGGCTAAAAAATGGGAGCAGTTATCATCACGGCCATTATTAGGGTCACCACATTGCTTGATTCACTTTCCTGAAACAACACATGTTTAAAAAATTACAGGGGGGCTCCCTCACAGGACCAGGGATTACGTCTTAGCACTATGAAGCTGTCTGTGGCCACTGCAGCACAAGTTCGATCCCCAGCCAGGGAGCTGACCCACATGGCGCGGCAGACCTCTCCTGTCTCCCCGCTGCTCTCCCCAGCAGTGTATTTCAGTCCATCTGCCTGTTCTGTCCCCCACTATGACTCTGGTGAATCCTCTCACCCCCTGTACATCTGGCCTGCACCCAAGCTCTTATATGCATAAATTTAAAAAAATATGTCTTTAAAAAAACAACTACAGGCAGATACTTTGGTTCAAAGGCCTCTGCCCCTTTCGCTATGACATCTTCACTACACACTAGCTGTGCCAGGGACCTGTGTAATTTTATTCTAACATAAATTGCATCTTATTTTAAAACATAAAATTAGTCTTTGAAAATTTAAAAGTAACATATGTGCAAAGTTTTGAAAAGATCCAATTAGCATTAAAGAATATAAATGTCTCTCTCCCTGCCCCCTCTGGGCCCCCTTCCCACTGCAGCTAATGCTAATCCCTGTGGCCTTACTATCAGTTTTGCATTTATTTTAAATACAAGTAGGATCATACTGAACCCACCTCCTAAACTAGCATTTTTTTACTTAATTATATTTTTTGTGATCAATCTCGTCAGCAGATCTAAATCCATCCAATTCTTTTTAACTGCATGGCATTCAATACTATAGATGTAGCCAAAATTTAGCTAAGTTGTGAGTCAAAGTTATTACAAACTGTGCTGCAAGCACTCTTTCCACATATTTCCCTGATACCTGTAAGTTTACAGGAAAAATTCATAGATGTATCCTAGGTCAAAGGATATTTAAATTCTGAGAACATGTTGCTAAATTAACTTGCAAAAAGAGTTGCAGGGATTTACATGCCCACCAGCCAAAGACAGATAAGTCTGCTTTCTCAAAACTTCAACATACCCCAGAAACATTTTAACAAAAAAAGTTGTCTTTCCCCAGAATCTACCACTTTGAGGAGTAGCCTGCATAACTGAGGGTTCAACACAATAGAAACAAGAACAGTTAAACTGCTTTAAGAATGTGCTTTTGAGTTTTCCTCTATTTCTTTAATTTTTTTTTTTCTGCATATCTGTGGAACTGTCTGATCTTTGGCCAACTGCATTTCCTATGCTACCCAGAGCCTTTTAAAAACTGGGCCACAGAGAAGCCCTCCAGCTGCTTTTCCATTTTCAGATCTCAGCCTAGCATTCAGGCTCAACCTCTCTGAGGTCATATCCCCCCACATCTCTTCTCAAGAGGGGCCTCAAGTTAATCTGGTCTCTTGACTGTTACAGACCTCCATCCCTATCTCCACGTTGCCAAGCCCTCTTTATCCTTCAAAACCTCGCCAAGATACCATGACACTCCCAAAAGAAAGGGACCTACCCAGATTCTTAACTTCTGAGGCTCCTTCTTAGAACCTAGCCTGGGGGCACTTAGAATTTTCAGTCTAGATAAGGAAAACAAACATGTCTTAGCAGAGAAGCTTCCTTGAATGGCCTTGTATGGTCACAACACCCTAATTATTGCAAACGTACAGAAAGCACTTGTTGACTAAATCTTCCCTAAACATATTCCCATTCTTTGCCTTTGTGCCTCTTAGCTATCTCTCCTTGATTTGCTCACCTGCCTGCCACTATCTACAAAAATCAAAATCTTCACTAGTCTTGCCACTAAACATACGAAAAGATGCTCAAGATCACCCAAGGCTAGAAAATTGCAAGTCAGTGAAACGAAACCATTTTTCACTTATCAGCAAAAATAAAAGTTTGAGGACATCAGCCCTGGAGAAAGCACAAGAACACAGATAAGCTCAGAGATGATGAGAGGATAATCCCTTGACCTTGCAATTCCATTGCCAGAAAGACACCCTTCAAATTTCAAAAAGTAAACCAGACACATTCACACAAAGCAAGTTGCTTATAGTGTTGTTCATATAAGCAAAAAACTGAAAGCAACTTAATTATCTGTTAATAAGAACTAAATAAATTATGGTAGGTCTATTTTAAAGAATCTCACACAACCCCTTTGCAGAAAATTTTTTTCAGAAGAGACCCATATTCATACTGGTAGATGCAGACTTTTCTTCTATGAAGGTACAATTACAATAAATACTAAAATGATTCTGGGGATAAAAGACATTTTATTTTACTTGCATGTCTCTGCATACTGTTTGAAAAATTTTTAAAGAACTGTAAGATTTTTGGGCCCTCCCTGGTGCACAATGGGTCAAAGCTCAGCACTAGGAAGCTGCCCGCAGCCACTGCAGCACTAGTTCGATCCCCTGCCAGGGAGCTGACCCACATGGGGTGGCAGACCTCTCCTGGCCCCCCCTGCTCCCCTCAGCAGTGTATCTCAGTCAGTCCTCCTGACTGAGAGGAATCCTACTCATGCTACAGTGGCTGGCAATAGCTTGATAGTGTTGAGACTTAACTCATAGGTCACCAGGGAGGTCTCCTGTTTGAATTTATCCTTTCTTTTATTGCTAGGTGAGAGGGCTGTCCACCATCCATTTGCTTTATGTTTTTCTGGATTTATTTATTACGATTACACAAGTTTGCCGCACTGAACACGTTCACATGAACACTGACCAGGTTCACACCTCTTCAGAGCTTTATCACCACACATGGAAGCTCCAACACCAAGTGACAGCACCATCATCCTGTCCCGCAGACCACTGGACTCCCTCCCATTTTACTACATTTTTTTTTTATATATAAAAGGGGTATTTATTCGGGGATTACAATTGAGATGGGGAAAAAATGTACAAAATGATGTAAAAATAAACTTATTAAAAAAGGGGGGTATTTATTTATGCACACAAGAACTGGGGTACAGACCAGAGGTTATGGGGTGAGAGGACAGAAACAAAGTGCGGAGCAGAATAGACGCAGTGATTGCAACACACTGCTGAGGGCTGCAGCGGGCGGGTCAGGAGAGGTCTGCTGCGCCATGTGCGTCAGCTCCCTAACTGGGGATGGAACTTGTGCTGCAGTGGCTGTGATAGCTTCATAGTTCTGTGCTTCAACCCCTTGTGCCACCAGGACAGGTCCTCTCTCCATTTGTAACTTATCCCACCAGATCACAACTTTCCCAGCATAAGAGGCCATGTCCATCAAACCCACATAAATGTCACGGGGTTTAGTGGGTACTTTGTGTATTGAAAGCATTCAGTATATACCCACCAAATGAGCAACAGTGGTGATGCCAATGTTAATATAAAGACTCATTTTGCTCCCTGGGGTCTCAAACTTCAAAATAAATTCAATGGGAAGTTTGACCACCCCAACAAAAGGGGTAGGAGAATGTCCTAAAGAACTCTGGGAAGTTGCTCTTCAGGAAAGTTTTCTGTATGAAAAATGAAGGTGAAAGTTTAGAGTGTTTCAAGATTTAAAAAGGAGTTAAGGGCCTTCCTGGTGGTAACAAGGGTTAAGTCTCAGCACTATGAAGCTTTTGGCA